GGAAATTTCGTCGCTTATGTCATCGTACTAACGCAAACATCGATGTATGCAGACATATATACATACTTGGTCGTCCGTCGGGACTCATACATATATAAACATATGTGGGCAGTTTCGGATATGACATATGTATGTATACGGGTGGTGTTGTGTCTATACATACGCATTTGTATGTTGAAATGTTGAAATTTAAACATTGGAAGTGTGGCGGAAATGTCTCTTGAATGTCTCGTGAATGTATACATGTCATATTATTTATTTTTCTTCGCATGTATGTATATGCATGTGGTGGGGTTTGTGTAAAATTATGATAGGTAAAAATTATTATTATTTATTTTTAAATTTTTGAAAAAAATGGGGGTTTATTTGTTATATTTAAAGCTGGTTATTTGTTTGTTTTTGGTGACTGTGTATATGTAACAGGTAGAAATTTGTAATCCTTATTGGTTAATTTATATGGTGATATTTAATATTTAATGTGATGGGTGAGAGGGTAGTTTAATTTAATAACGGGTCTATATGATATGATGTGATAGTAATGTTGCAAGGGATTGGAGACAGTGATAATATAATTAGCTAATAGTTATTGTAAATTGGTAGAAATTGTAAATTGGTAGAAATGATTAGTAACGGTGGTGGGAGAATGATAAAACCATGAATGTAGTTATAGTGGTGGTAGCTAGTGGTGGTAACTTGAACTAAAAAGTGGTTGTTGGTGTTTTAGTTTATTTTATTTTATTTTGTTATATGTATTAATTGATTTTGGTATAAATCCTGATAATAGGTATTCTGTGTAAAATCATGGTAGTTGAAGATTGCTATAATTTTTAATTTTTAATTTAGAAAATTATTATTGTTATTATATTAAAGCTGGTTATTTCCTTGTTTTTTTTTTGTGACTGTGTATATGTGACTGTGTATATGTGACTGGTAGAAATTTCAGTTTGTAATCCTTATTGGTTATTTTTATGGTGGTATTAAATATGCTGGGAGAGGGGGTAGTTTACGTTAATAATTATGGCAGGATTATATGGTAATGGTAGATATGGTGTGATAGTAATATGTAAGGGGGTTGGTCGCAATAATAATATAAGTGGTTAATATTTATTATAAATTGTTAGTAGTGATTAGTAATGTTGGTGGAAAAATAATAAAAATCTATAAATGTAATTATTGTGGTACCAGCTTGAACTAAAGAGTGGTTGTTGGTGTTTTATTTTATTTTATTTTCTATATTTATTTGTTTATTTTTATTTATTATGAATCCTGGTAATAGGTGTTTATTCTCATGGTTACATATGGAAATTATATCTGATCATATTGTTTTAAGGTATTAAATATGCTCGGGGAGTAATATGCGTTAAAGATTGTGTTAATAGTAGGTGTGATGTGTGAGTGATGGTGCTGGGTGTTGGTGGTAATGATAATATTATTAGTTAATAGTTATTGTAAAGTGGTAAAAGTGATTACTAATGGTGGTGCAATGATAATAATGATAGATGCAATTTTTTGATGGTATTTTAAAATTAAATTGTGATTGTTGGTGGTTTGTCTATTTTATCCGTTTGGTATGAATTCGGATAATAGGTACTTGTTCTCATGCCTACATTTGGAGATTATCTCTGATTTTTTGTTTAGTAAGTTCATTTGCGGTTTGTGTGATATTATTGCTACTTTTTTCGTGTAGGCAAAGTAGGCATTTTCTTGTAATGTTGTTGTAGGCAGGGGCTTTTTTCAATATTTCCCAACTTATTGTTGGTGTGATATTTTTGTCTTTTTGCTGCCATATGTATGTAGAAAGTGTTGTGCTGTTCGAATATTTCCTGTTGTTGAATGAAAGGTTGTGATTGTTATTCCTCATCTTGAATGGACCTTCAGTGGCACCGATGTAGTGCATAGTATTGTTGTTTGTACTTACCTTGGCCTTGTATATTGTGTTCGTAAGTTGGCAATTTCCCCTGGAGTGGACATGTTCTGTTTCTGCAGTTGCATATTGGATCTTTGGTTTCATTTTTGCAGGTTGTTATTTTTTGTTGTGGCTTTTGATTATTTCTGTTATGTTTTTTGCACAGCTGTAACTGATCTTTACGTTATTTTTGTTAAATATTTTTGATAATTTGTTTGCTTCAGTGAAGTATTTTTCTAATAAGTTTATTTATTAAACCAGATAAATACCAAAATCAATCAGCCGCAGACTATCTGAGAACTCATCTAACATACACATTTTCAATAGCAAAAAAGCACCATACAACGAAGCACTAAAAGCAAGTGTTTACAAACAACTACAATATATACCTCCACAGCCAAAACGCAAAAACAGAAAGAGAAACATTATCTGGTTTAATCCACCATATAACAAAACTGTTAAAACGAACATAGTCAAAATATTCCTAAACTTATTAGAAAAACACTTCACTGAAGCAAACAAATTATCAAAAATTCGACCTTGCTAACTGAATGCTCCTCTGTGGCCAAATCGGTTAAAGACACGTCAAGCTAAATGACGGTTCCGTATAGGATACAGGTTCGAATCCTGTCAGAGGACGAATAATTGTGAAAATCTCTCGGACATTATAGATATTTGTGTGTGTGTGTGTGTGTGTGTTACCTGGTAAAGTCAGTAATACAATAATATAATATAATAATCCATCTCTTCTTCCCCCCCCACGTTATGGGTTGAATAGCAGGACAGACTGGGTTTTTAGCCTTGGTTGGCCACCAGTCTACCCCAGAAAGAAATGCCAACCAAAAATAAATGATCGTCCAAACGTTTATCACGTATGCCACTTAACTGACTTATATATATATATATATATATATGTGTGTGTGTGTGTGTGTGTTTTACCTGGTAAAATCACTAATATAGGAAGATAGGTTGTATTTGAAATTTAATAAAGATTGCTTCATACTTGCCAGGGGGGGGTTTCCATTCGTCTGCATTGTTGTTGTCGATCTCTAATAATTTATTTAATCAAGATGTTTTATTATCGTCAACTTCGCAGCCAGTTATTTTCGATTCAATTAATTTCGACTAGTTTCTTCGAGCACCAAAACAAAATAAAACTATCCAATCACTTTATGGTAGTTATCTGTTTAGCTGGGTCGGCAGGGCACGCGCACACAACACACACACACACACACACACACACACACACACACGTATATCTTCAGGAAGGCCTGTAAATTGCGTTCCAGCATGAAAACAGACTGTTACTGCTTGGTATTCACATCAGTTTCCACTTTCATACCTACACACGCTCTATCCCTGATAGTGAGCACTTATTACCACAATATAGCAGACCTTAAAACTATATTTCAACATCTCCCTCTCGCTCTTTCTCTCCTTACATTCTCCTTGCATACATCTCCCCCGCTCTCTCTCTCTCTCTCTGTATGTATATATATATATATATATATATATATATATATATATATAAAAGTGCGCAGGTATGCAGAAAATAGAAAAGAACACGTTGGGTGCATAATCCGGGGTTCCTTATTATTTTTGTTTTTATTTTTTAAGAAGACAGTGCTCCATACAGAAGTAGGGCTTTATTATAATAATATTTTTTTATTTAAAAATATGACTCCTTCGCTACATATGAGTTCTCATGTTTCAAAAAAGAGAGCCGAAACCATTCAAATAATTATTAAAATTAACTTGAATTGAGGTGTTTAGTTCCGTTACATCTTCAAGCGAAATTTTAGGAATTTTAAACAAAAAAAAAATATATATATATATATATATATATATATATATATATATATATATATATATATATATAATTGTTAGCAAGTTCGTCTGAAAGCTGAGTTCGATCCTCACTAGGTGCCCCAAACTTTCGGCCTTGTGTTACATCTAAGTTACGCTTAGAATATATATATATATATATATATATATATATATATATATATATATATATATATATATATATATATACCGGTGTAACAGCAAATTTGTCGAATTGTTTGATTAAGCTTTCAACCGTTTTACTTAGAAATGATTAAAGGTATCTTACTGGAATTCTCCGAGATTTTTATAACACTAGCGGAGTCTAGTTTGAACAATAAGAATGTATTTAGCTCTAAGTTAAAAGGATGATCCCTTATGTTGTTTGACCTCCTGTTCCAGTTTTTCACTTTACTGTTTTCCACATTTAAAATCTATCGATATATAGATCAATTATTGATCGGAATCCGACAGAATATCAAGAACCAAGAGGAAACGTTTATCAATCTAACACAGGTGTTATCAAGCGGGGTTCACATTGACCCTAGATTGTTTATGTAATATTTCTGGGGGTTCACTGACAAAATATGACAAATTGGAGCCCACAATGATATTTTGATTCTTCATGAAGAACGCCAACACAGAATGTCTTTTATTATTAAAATAAAGCACAGCTCTATGTCATTGCTTTTCCACCATCTTGTTAAAACGGGATTTAATCGTGTTTCTCAATGGTTATCAGAAGTTCCCAATAAAATTAACGTTGTGAAAAGAGGTGATCTTTGACTATCATTAACATCGATGGAACCAGAGGATGTTAAGCAATTCAGTTCAATCTTCTTGCCAACCTAGCATTAACTCACCATATTCCATTCTGCGGTCACAATCTTCAGGATTTAGTTCCTTCACTTAAATAAGAGATCCTTATTAGTGTCGTCTGTTTAAAAATATTTTCGTTAGGACTTCAGGGATACTAAAAATTGTACAAACAATTTCTCATGCCTAGTTACTTTCCACCCACCTGTAGATCAAGAAATATATTCAGTTTTTGGTAACATCTTGATCGCTAATAGATAGATAGATAGATAGATAGATAGATAGATAGAACAGATATATATATATATATATATATATATATATATATATATAGAGAGAGAGAGAGAGAGAGAGAGAGATTGATAGATACATATATGAACATGGCAGAGATAGATAGATATGAACATGACATATATATATATATATATATATATATATATATATACGCATATACATATATATATATATATAGAGAGAGAGAGATAGAGAGAGAGATAGATAGTTATGAACATGGCAGAAATAGATAGATAGATAGATAGATAGATAGATAGATAGATAGAGAGATAGATAGATAGATAGATATGAACATGACAGAGATAGATAGACAGATAGATAGATATGAACATGACGGATAGATAGATATGAACATGATAGATAGATAGATAGATAGATAGATAGATAGATAGATAGATAGATAGATAGATAGTAATTAATAAGATATCGATCGATTTACGCCTACAAATGTATCCCTCACCATATTCATAGTTGAACCGATTTAACTTCAGTTTTCCGTCCGGGAAATATTACATATAAGCTTCCCCGTTTTTACTTCTACGTGAGACACGTGTATATATGTACATATAATTTTGTCTATGTCTTACTGATATAAAGGTCTCTCTGTGAAAAAAAATCATGTTTGTCTTTCCTTTATCTTATAATCATTCCTATCCGTCCGTGAAATAAGGTGTTATTACTTACTTT